AGAAGAATCCAAATCTCCCTAGAATCTCATCTCACAATCACAATTTCACAGTCACGAGCCACCAAAAAAGGGCAAAAAGCGCCAATTTGAGCTCAAATATATCATCCATCAAAGCCTAGAAAGATCCAATTCCAACTCACACATTCTTGAACTAAAAAAAAATTGGAAAATTTTATAGAAAAGACATTAAAAAAAAAAGAGGACGTTTCAACATATTTTGGAAGAATCTGCAATATACTTTTATCCTTCTCTTGGAAAAAGTATGAGAATTTTGGGTAATCGTGCGGCTCGATTCGGCTAATCGTAGAGCTGGTCTACCACCACGTGTCTATACTGTTGAAGGCGTCATCAAATAATCCATTTAAAAATAATAATAATGGCCCATGCAGGTCTCGAACCTGCGACCTTCGCGTTATTAGCACGACGCTCTAACCAACTGAGCTAATAGGCCAGATGTTTATACTTTATTCTCTAAAATTTTAAATAACATAAGAAAGTAAATACAATGGGGCCATGGTAAGCCATCTGTTTTATCTTTCCCATCTTCCCTCAGTTTGTTTCTTGCTCAATCAGGGATGGTACTAAAACCTATTTTGGGAAAGATTGTTAGGTGGATGACAATGTCTCTTATTCCCTTGCTTGTGCCACCTTTCGAAGATGAGGTTGCATTTAGCGGCCTCTGTTATGGGGTTTTGGGAAAATCCTCCTTCCATTTCTTTAGGCCTCTATCAATCCTTGACGGATAGGGAAGAACAAGAGATTACTGTATTGTTTGCTTAGTCAGGAAATGTCCCATTCGTGCAGGGGAGGAAAGACATTAGGTCTTGGGCCCCAAACCCGTCTTTGGATTTCACTTCTAATTCATTTTATCAACTTCGAATTGCCCCATCGCTTCCTCTCAACACCTCGATTTTTTACTCCCTCTGGAAGATAAAGCTTCCAAAGAAGGTTAAGTTCTTTGCCTGGCAAGTTTTACATGGAAAAGTTAATACCTTAGATTGTATTCCAAGACATTCTTCCTTGTTTGTTGGGGCCTCAGTGGTGTGTCCTTTTCCAAAAATGCTTCTGAAGATCCTAATCAAATTCTGTGGAGTTGTCAATTTGCTCAGCTTATTTGGAATTAATTTCTAGAGGTTTCTGGGGTCTCTTGGGCAGGAAATAGGAATTGTAGGGCTTTGTTAGAGGAGGTGTTGTTGTTCCCACCTTTTTGGGATAAAGAACTCCAGTTATGGCAGACTTGTTTTTTTGCCATCTTGTGGGGTGTTTTGATAGAAAGGAATAGCAGAATTTTCATTAGAAAGGTTTTGAGGACAGGTTTGAGAGCTAGTTAGATTTAAGTCGAAAGGAATGGCAGAATTTTCAGGGGAGTTAGAGAGGTTTTGAGGGGAGGTTCGAGATCTGGTTAGATTTAATACCTCTCTTTGGGTTTCAGGGTCTAGAGCTTACTGTAGTTATCAGTTAGGTATCATTCGTTTGGACTGGGGCCCGTTATTATAGGTGGATCCCCTTTTGTCGGATTTATTTTTTGTATGCCCTTTGTATATTCTTTCATTTTCTCTCAATGAAAGCGAAAGCTTGGTTTCTAGTAAAAAAAAGAAAGAGGGAAAAAAACTTCCATCTCTCTCCATAGCGACAAAGGCTAGCCAAAGATTTATCCAACCCTCTAACAAGGAATCACCTTGTATCTATAAGGATTTTATACAATATTTTATATTTACTAAAAAGTATCTTGGCCAAAACCCTTCGGAAAGACTACATAGAAAAGTCCTAAAATACAACCAAAGTGGTAAATTTGTAGGTCTAGATATATAAAACTTGGGTGTTCAGGAACTAGAGACCTTACACTTGTGAGGTGGGGTTGAGCAGAAACCTTTTTGGCTACTCTTCACGAAAGAAGTCCGATGCCGCTTCCCTTGCATGTGGGCCGATTAAATCTTACACTCATAACTAAAAGAAATCCCCAAAAAATATAATAAAAATTAAAAATTTTATGAGGAATATGTAAAGTAAAATTAAATAGAGAGTGAGGGAGGCAGGGAACACCTTCCAAGATGGTTGCGCATGCATGTTGAGGTTGGGGCAGGAGCCTCATAGGCTTTAAGGGCTGTTTCTCTTGGTCAAATTAGTCTAATGTCGCTTCCCTTGTGCGTGTGCCACCAACTGCTAAGTAATTTCACTCATTGTTGGGTAGATTCAAGCAAAGCCTATACTCATAACTACAGAAATATCTCAAAAATGATATAATTAAATTTCAAAATTTTTCAAAGAATAGATAATTAAAATGCGAGGGAGGGGGGAGGGGGGAGGGAATTATATCTCAAAAATGATATAATTCAACTTATAAGCAAAATTACAACTGCACTGCACATGAAGAAGGATCCTTTTTAAATTGAACTACCAATCATTTTCAACGATAAAAAAAACATCCTTTTTATTTCTTTTATTTCATCTATTTCTTCTCCATATTAGTTTTAAAATGTAATACGCGTAAACAGAATTAGAGGTTAAAAACAATTCATAGTTTGTTTTCAAGTGCTTTCTGCAGATAAAACTATGTTTAAAAATTTATGACATCAAAATTTTATTTGGCATTCCCAAGATTAAGCAGTACACAACTAATAATTAACTGATCCATATACTCAGTGTAATCTTTATTGTTCCTCTACAATCCATTCTTGTTCGAGACTTTTGTAAAATATCTGTGTTGTTTTTTCTTGCAATGTTCTTTGCTGTCTCCTTAAAAGAAGTTGAGGAACTGCTATACTGTAACTTCGAAATAAACGGGAGAAAATTTACCGGTAAATGATAGTCAAGGATGATGGTTGGTTGCTTTCCCTCCTGCAACCATTTGATAGAAAAGGCGAGTCAAGTGGAGAAAAACATTTAAAAAAAGACCCACATGTTCAAAAAGTTATATAGGCACCTGAGAACGGCTAATTTCCTCCCAATCAACCATAAAGCGCTGAAATCTCTACCAGCAAAGTCCAGCACAGCAATGTCACAAAAAGAAACTGAATGATGTATATCTACAAAAAGAAACTGAATGTTGGTTTCCATTATTACAATTAAAATACTCACAAAAATGGTGTTCATAACAACATTCAGGAAGGAACTTGAGTAAGTATGTGCACCTCAAAATCCAGATTCTATTAGCAACTCCTAAACCGGGATGTTAGGAATATGAGCGTACAAGCTTCAAAAAGCTGGTCTGCGAGAAACCCTAGGCGATTGCGGCAGAGTTGGCATCTCTTCTCGATTTTCCACTTCATTTCAATTACGTTCGAACCCTTCTGAAATTTCAACGCTTCGCTTCTCCTCGCTCGGTTCTTCTCCGCTTGTCWTCCTCTTCCTCAACCCAATTACTCGCCCCCATCAAACGAAACCCTAGATTGAGCAGATGACGGGATTGTGTCTCAAGAGCGGATTCAGCATCCTCTTCTATATGCTCTCCTCTGTTTTCTGGCCACCATCTTCTTCCCCTTGTCGTCATCTTCGACCTCATTCACTGTGCTCCCCGCCACCGAGAACATGCTGAACATCAACGTCGACAAGAATGTAGCGGAAGTTAAGAGCCCGGCATGGAGAACTCGAACAAAAATAAAGAAATCGCGTACGTGTCTTCTAGCCCTAACCCTAGCCAGAATCGCGTAGTCTTCTTGATCTCTTCAACTCCATTCCCGGTTCCGCTCGAGCACTTGTGAAATCCACGCCATTGAAAGAACTCGCTTCTTCTTAGCGCAAAAATGAATGGATTCGGCATTAGTTTCTTCCTTGGCGCGAACTGAGAGGGAAATCTCAGAGTTGTTTTCTTTTATAACAGTAACCTGCGTACAAACTACGCTTTGACTTAGTCAACTGCGTGTAAAGCACGCGTTTCTTTTTTCTTTTCTTTTTCCCTATTTTTTAACCGGTCTGTAAATGCAGCGCTACTAGCTGTTGTCTTTTATTATTTTTTATTTTTTTTTAATATTGTTGTATTTTAAATTTATTTCAAATATATATCAAACTCTGAAACTATTTTAAAAAATAATGTTTGAAAAATTATAAGTCTGTTTCTTGAGCTATGCCACTTCACAGTTTCTGACGGTACCTTGTTCGTGCCATGTATGTTTTTTTTCTTCAAATTCTGACATGTCGTCTTTTTATGTCAAGATTAAACAAAATTATCATTCTGAAACAGTGATAATACACCTACTTTTTATTATAGAGGTCTTTGGTTCAAGTTTTCGTGATACTTTTGTTTAGTTTTCGCATATGTCGGAGAGACAACCTACCAAAATTAGAAAAAGAAAAAGTGTGAAATGGCATAGAAGATAGGTTATACTTTGACAACACAAATATTAATGTACTTAAAAAATATAAACATAAAGATAAGTGTGTGTATATAAATACCCATGGTTCCTATTCAAGATTTTTCTCAATTTCATCCTTATTTTTTTAAATTTATCAATTTTACTTTTAACATATTCAAAGTTCTCCATTAAATCTTTACCTAACAAATTTTGTTTTTTTAGACCGGTCTAAACAAATTTATTAAACTAATATATCATTACATAATTTAAATAATTATTTTATTAATATATTTAGACGCATCTTACATGGACATACTATTTATAAAAAAAATGGATTTTATTAATTGATCGAATTTTAGTTATAGGACGTTAATAAAATAAAATTTTCATAATTTATCAACTTTTTGCCAACAAGTTTCCACCAAATTTTTTCCCTTCTGGAATAACTGAATTAACACCTTTTAACATATTTCTTCTAAAAAAAAACACTTTCTAACAAATTAGCGATAAATTTTAAAATTTTAAACAATTAAGGCTAAATATATAATTGACTAAGATCATCTGGTATATTTAGCTATATTGATTTTATTGATTATATTATATAATAAATATTCCATTCGCAACGAACATTGAATAGATACAATAAAATTTTAGTAAAAAAAAAGAATTAACAAAACTTTTTAAAGGTGTGCACCAAATAATTCAAATTATAAAATCATTTTATGATTCCAAAATTCACCTACAAACTTATTTACGATACATTAACAAGTGTCGAAAAATCATTCTCAAAATGGAAAAGTAATATTCAAGACGCATTTAACACAGCCCATTATATAAAAAACAAAATGTATAAATATTGGACGAAAATACTTGGAATTAGTTTGGAATGATGTACAGAAGTAGCTTTTATTGTTTAAATTTTGTTCTAAGCATTTCTGGAGTTTTCAAAAGCCATGTACCTTAAGGTCCTCAAGCATATAAATTTTGAAATTACTCTTAATTAAATAAATCACACTTTACCTTATAAGTTAATGTCATACACAATATTTATATAATTATATAAAATACATTATTACAATGTTGTTAGAACTTTGCTAATATCTGTTACATCCTTCATAGGCACCTCTCTTGAAAACTTCTCTCTGTACAAAAATAACTTGTGGAAACATAAGTTTATCTGAATATGTACCTTACAGACATATATATATATACACACCAGCTTTGCAGTTTTTTATTCCCAACCCATCAATGCCTTCCAAACTCGTTCCTCGATCTTGTTCCTTGGGACAGAGGAGTTCTCGCCTTCGTCGAGCAAGACTCGGTAAACTTCCCATTCTCGATCTTGAATCACATATCGTCCGATCTCAGCCTGAGAACACAATCAAATCAATGTTTACCATTTTAACTTGGAGTAGTTGAGTATCTTGTTCATTTCCAAGCCCATCTTCTATATCGTATACAACCAAAACTTCAAAACAACAGCCAAATAATATTTGGTTTTTCATTTTTTCTCAATTATTTGGTTTTTCATTTTTTCTCCATCTCATCGAACAATTGCTTGACCCTACTACATATGTTGTCAAGACAACTCAACATTAGGGCATCCTAATTCCTAGGCAGGTTACACTCATCCCCTCAAAATTTTTTTTTTCTTTTTTTCCGGATCCCAAGGACTACTAATTCCCTCTAAGCCTATTATATCCCATATTGACAAATAAAGAGTTCCTTAAAGGTAACTTCCCATGTTTTCATGCATAAGGTAAGAACGACTAACATGTTCGCAAGTATCATTATATATGGAAGAACTAAATGTTGGCAATCCATGCATCGATATACCAGAGCAAGAAGCAGGGTAAGTACCAAAAAGATGCCAGAATCCAGCAACTTCAATGCAAGAGTGATATCAAAGAAAACAAGAGGCCGCCCCTCTCCCGATAGCTCCACCGGGTTAGCAACCAACAATTCTGTATCAGGGCCCCTGCTCACAACAGCTACACTAAGGGGACGAAATAGTTCCATCTGCAGTCGATTCGAGAATGCATTCTGCTTACTAGGGTCTATAATCTTCTTGCCATCGGCTTGCACAATGAACAAATCAACTTCGCAGTTCCTCCCTTGTTTTGTAGTGAAACGGCCATACGAGAGCTGATTATTATGGGCAAGTATGAATATATCTATTACATAATTGATCTCTAAACACTATACTTAGAAGAAGAAAAAGAAAAAAAAAATCCAAACAAGGTTCAAATCGAAGGACCCGTTTTCTATAAACACAAAATAGTATATAAACTTCATCTTAAACAAGTTCCAAATCATTCCAAATGTAAATCACAATCTTATGTCAGAAGGTAGTGTTTACCTGAATATTGTAATCCTTCAGAGTCCTCATTATATCATAAAGAAGACCTTTCTGGTATTGGCAAACAATTTGGACAAGGGTGTGAGCAGGGCTCAGTGAGTTGTCCAAAGAAATGGAAACACCATTGGAGGTGAGTGATCCACTTGAGAGTTTGTTGTGATTCTGAAACTCCATGTCAAAGATGTCTTCTGTGAATACTGAAGGAAGGAATGAAGACCTCTGCAAACATGTGGTAACTTCAGGACCCAACATTTCTATTCCAAAACTTATTATTTCTTCCCCAAAAACAAGCTTTAGTTGGTCGTACATGTCCCGCTGTCTCTTTGTGGTATGCAAGAGTTCCCTGGTACAAACATAAAATTACAGATAATAGCAAAAGTTTTGCTTCAGAGATCTTGCGGGGTGGATGTTTAAATATAGATAAAAGAAATATTCAGGGAAAAAAAAATTTGTCTGTGTCACACAATATTTAAAAAAAAAATTTGAGGGAGATATCATTCTACGGATTAATGAGGACTAATGTCCCAACATTCCCGACCCAAACAAAACGAGTGCCAAGATATATATATATGAATATAAATGGAAAGCAAGCAGCAAAGTCAATCATCAGCCCAATATTAACATAAAAAAGGCTTCAATATTGTCAATAAAATCTACTGTATTAAATCCATACACCATGTTATGCGAGTGTGCTATCAGGAAATTTCTACAAACGAGGAGAAGATTAAGGCCATTGTTCAGTACAAGACTTCTTTATGTAGCTCTATCTCTAAGACCTTTTTGTAACAAGATTTCTTTTTTTACACTAACGTTTTGTAATCCCTTTGGTCTTTGGATCATAATACACTGTGCTTTAGCAATTCTAATGAAAATTAACATTCCTACTAAAGGATGGTGAAATTTTTAAACATAATAGAACTTTTGAGGATGCACAACCTGGTGTCTGTAATGAAGAATAGGTCCATCACTTTTCCATCAGGGGTGGTGGACACCTTCACTTTCTTTATAGTAAACTCGAGCTCACAGAGAACCCACGTCACATCTGCCACAAAATATTAGCTAAAAATTCTCAAGCTACCAAGAAAGAGATCGGAATATTGGGGCAAAATTACTAAGCAGGGATGGTCTAGGACTTAATTTTTTAATCCCGGAATCATCAACCAGCTTGTAACTTCATCACATATAAGCATAAGAAAAACTTCCTACAACATTAAATTGGTTTAAATATATATTACATAATAAAGAGGGAAGTTGGTTACCATGTTGAAGTCCCTTTCTATCGTAAGAGCAAAACTTCAAAAGAAACACATCAGGAGGCTTTGGTGGCTGCAGGTCGGAGTTGTTGTAAGCAATCCCTGAAGCCAAATAACAGGAAGGGCAAGCTTCCACTAGTCTCTTCTTCAACGAGGCCCACCTGGTCTTTGAATTTCCAGTCACCCAAAATACTATATAGCACCATTTCCCATCCGTTGAGATATCTGTACAACAAAACCAAGAGGTAAGCAAAGTAAATTTCAAATTCCCATCATAGTAGATATCTCACAGCATCAAATCACTTTGTAGAAAAAGCGAAAATTGTTTTTGATAGTAACCAAAGGATTTAAATGGAAATTGTATTGATAAATTGTAGAATAAGGGGCATCCTTCATCCCCTCCTATCCCACTCCCTAACTTGGTATCCTAATAATATCTCACATATACCCTAAGAATAGTCCTACAAAGTTGTATTGCACAAAACTAAACAAATGTATCCTCTAAAATTTCCCCCCATCTCTCCCACTCTCAATTGCACGAGGGTTGAAGAAGAAACCCTTTCAAAATCAAAAGAGGAGAACTAGGAGAGCTTAAATTTTTACATTAAAAATAAATTTTTTAAAAAGAAGCTCTATTTCCATATTCTCCTCATTTCAACTTGAAAACAAGCTTCGGGGTATTGCAAAACTTGGAGGAGGAAGAGTAAGTGAACAAAACAACATAAAGAGCTGCCTAACAACAAAGAAGCTTCAGCATTGTACGATTAATGGTATATTGGAAACATCAAAAATTAGAATCCGAAGATTTCAGAATCTTCAAAAAAACCCTAAACTCTCCTACTTCCGAGCATCTCAAGAAAAGCAAGAGTTGGGTTTGTAATGTGTTACCTCCTCTGACAATATTGAGTCCATAGAAGAGAATTATGCGGCACAAATCACATCCCAAACCAATTTGATCAGGGCAATTTACAGTGATGACGCTTGGCTCACCCTCGCTCTCGGACTGCCTGATCAGAACCACGTCGTCTTGCAGCATACCCATTTCCGCTTCTGCTTCTTCTTCTTCCGCCTGGGATTTCAGATTGAAAAGTAGGTCAGGCGAAATTATTTGCTTAGTCTCAGTTATTACTCCCAGAAAAAGGGAGAGGAAAAGAAAAAGGACGATAGAGAGAGAGAAGAGTACAGATGGCTGTCACTCGCTTTCAGTGGAGTTGTTGTTGATGATGTATCATTTTCTTTCTAGTTGCGGCCTCCATTCCGGTTCCCAGTCCCACAGCCATTGTTGGAGAAGAATCCAAATCTCCCTAGAATCTCATCTCACAATCACAATTTCACAGTCACGAGCCACCAAAAAAGGGCAAAAAGCGCCAATTTGAGCTCAGATATATCATCCATCAAAGCCTAGAAAGATCCAATTCCAACTCTCACACATTGTTGAACTAAACAAAATTGGAAAATTTTATAGAAAAGACATTAAAAAAAAAAGAGGACGTTTCAACATATTTTGGAAGAATCTGCAAGGTACTTTTATCCTTCTCTTGGAAAAAGTATGAGAATTTTGGGTAATCTTGCGGCTCGGCTCGTCATAGAGCCGGCGTATCACCACGTGTCAACTGTTGAAGGCGTCGCGTCACTTCTCACGTGCTTGACTTGTTCTAAAAGTCAAGCGAAGTCAGGTCCCCGGTCTCTCCCCTCCAAATGTAAGCTCTTGGTTTTGGCCTCCTCGGTCGTAAAAAAATAATCGATTTGAAAATGAAAAGATGGCCCATGCAGGTTTCGAACCTGCGACCTTCGCGTTATTAGCACGACGCTATAACCAACTGAGCTAATAGGCCAATTGCTCAAATATACGATTATTAATATATAATTTTACAAAATTTAAATAAAAAGAAATGCTATTTAACAATTAATATTGTAGAATAAAATTGTGTTTTTGGTTGAAATTAGAGTATTAAATTTTTCCTTGGCCTGTCAACATTTCTACGTAATCATGGAGAATCAACACTTCCTTAGCATCGCAAAAAAATCACTGAAATATCACTCATTTTTACCTAACATTCATTCTCATAATTTTTAACTTATTTAAAATGAGTAAATATTTATTTGTTATGAATTTTTTATTTCTATAATGTTTTTAAAATAATCAAATGATAACTCAGAGCTATATTTTACAAGTCCTTTGCTATTTACAATGGTCTTCATTGATCACTTGAGCCATCCCATGATGGTTTCAATTTCCCAGTTATTGATTTTAATTTATAATCGTTTCAACTCTAATACTTTATTGTATGAATAAAAATTACAAATCCAAAAAAAATGTTAGAGGAGATATTATTATTATCTGCATACTTCACACCAATTTCATATTCTACTATCACATATCATGCACCAACTTCACCCTTTATAAATGCAACTATACATCTTGAGGAGCAAAAAAAAAAGACACCAACATAACAACAATCATATATGTATTCTTAACCCCAGACTCCAAAGTTATACATCCAGCAACATAATAGCCAAGTTGATCAGAAGTGGATACATACAATACAGCTATGACATTCCACATATTTATGAAAATCGCATTCGTTTAAACAATGTCATACGATATCGTTATCGAAATTAGATGGTCGATCCCCATATACTTGGTTAGCAAAGGCTCGCCAGTGGCCATTTGATTAAGTTCTTCGAAACCATGTTGAGCTTTGATGATTTATAAATCCTACATCTCCTCCTTGCAGGGCACGTTGTTGCAACGACAAACAGGTCGCCCAGACGCTTCCCAGCCGTTGAAGCCGCGTTCAAGAACACAGATGTTTTTTATTCCAACATCCTCCTTAATCTCCTCAAGATAGTTGGCAAGCTTCCTTGCACAAGTTGGGCCACGAACCTAGAAAAGCATTTGGATAATAAGATTTGTCTCAAAGCTTTGTTTCTAAAAGTAGAAGCTGAACATAAACAGAAAGGATTTTAGAAAAAATATATAAATAATTTTTTTTTAATTTTCTATGAAAGTTGCACATCCTGCCAATCTACAAACTATAGATGAAAATTGATCAATTTGGAGATATTCAGTGAAGTATAAGACAAAGGCAAGATTAAAAAAATTTGAATACAGATAAACTTCATTCAAAAGTACAGTTTTCCGCCCTCAGTACACTGCATGACAAAGAACGGTCTGGAAAAGCAACAGAGGGATGGATAATAACAGAGAGGGAATTAGATGGGAAAATACACGTCCACTTGTAACGTTCACATTTCTTTTTTCTATTTCTTGTTTCCTCTTTTTAATAAAGAGAAAGACATAATTGTATTCGGTAACTATTTCTTGTTCTTTATGATTCTCAATAATGATAAAACAATATTTTTATTTATGTTTTGAAAAAAATTGGAAACGGAAAGGAAAAAAAAACAAGAAACTTTATTTTGTTGTTTCTAAAATTTCTATACTATTTTGGAAACGTTTCTTAAAAAATGAGAAATAAAAAACACAAATAGTTACCAAATACTTTGGTTTCTCAATAAAACTAGAATAAAAAATAAAAAACGAGAACGTTACCAATCGGGCCCTACAGTTTCCATCACAAGTTCAATGATGATGTGAAACCTATTGATGGACTTAAAAGGATAAACTACATAACCTTATTGACTATATGAAATAATATTAGCATCAACACTCAACAGTCAGAAAACGATAGGAGTGTGATTATAAAAAGAACCAGAACACCAATAAGAGCAACGATAATTAGATGGATAATAAACAATCCCTTCCATCATTTTCTTTATAATTTAATATCCGGGAGTTCCTGTCCAGCCACATGGTTAATGCAAATGCTTTAACTGCACTCATCTGAAGGACTTTACCGTTCCTTTAGATCTATGGCCAGCAAATAATAGCCCTATTACAACTATAGTATGCATTGTCTATTGACTAATTGGAGGATTTTTCCAACCTTCATTAGTTTTGCTCACTGCCACACTTCTGCGATTTCATGCTAAACCTTTCATGCTTAAAGAGCATCAAAACAGAATGGAACCAACTACAACTAGGCTTCATCAGGAACCAACCTTTTTTCTCTCTCTTTTATGGAGTGTGTGAGAATGTTTGCTGGCTTTGCAAGAAGTTCGGTGCCTGCATACTGTCTAACAAAAGAATTCAACTTTTTTCAATCCCCTTCCTTCCCAATGGCCCAATAAATACGCTTGGTCAAAATGGATATCACTGTAAATTTACCCACTAGTTCCAACCCCCAAGGCATTCTATTAAGTCAAAACTGTTTAAGAGCTGCAACAAGTGTCCTATTTCTGTCATCTCAACCTCGTGAAGGTAACCACAGGCTTCTATGCTTCCACATTCCCCAACAGTTGTAAACCACCCCTCGAGCTCCCTCCCATAAATACCGAACTTTTTTTTACAACTCGCCCAAGAATGCTGACAATTATTTTACTCCATAATTCGTTTGGTTTGTGTATTGACCTCCATGGCCGTTCCTCCAACAGAACTAAGTTTCTGTTCCTCATATTACCTATTCCTAGACCACCCCACTCTATTAGAAATTAGATATAAAACAAAATTAATTTTTCTGATCAGAAGATCATCGCCAAATACAATTATTTCTCAATATATAAAAGTTGTCCAAGAAGGTCCTTGTTAACATACCATTCTAATTAGTCATGTTTACAAATAAAAACAAAGTTTCAGTTTGAAGATGGGCAGAAAACTGTAGACACCAGTTAACACAGCTCCAACTCCATTTTTTAAACTATACAACTATAAAGCATAATATAAAACCTGGATAAATGACAGCTCCTACAGGTTTGAGCCCGATATCCTTTTATTACCTTATACATATGAGGAGAGCATATACAGAGTATCAACATCCTTAGGTGTAAAAAACAGATAACATATCCAAATTCACAAAACTCTAATTCCTTGTGGTGGGATACAGATCGATAACTGCAGTACTTATAAATCCGATCAATCCTAATGTGACTTCAATAATCACTAAAACTTTAAACAACCCACCCAAGAGATTGATCAGCAAAATATGGTGAAATACGAGATGATAAAGAAAAAACCCTAATAAAGTCAACAGAGCAAAGATGAAGACAATTCAAATACGATCGAGTGCGAAAACCTGGCTAAGAGCGCAGTGGAATACAAGCGTGTCTTTCCCTTTCACTTCTTGAACAAGCTTAGAGATCTTATCGGAGAAAGTGTCACTAGCGTAGTGCAGAGATCCGGCAATATGGCCATCATAACTCCTCTCGTCGTCCCTGTAAGATCGCAAGACAAATTATACATCAATGAAATGCAGGAAACTTGCGTCCTGCAAAGAATCGGAAAGGAAATTGAGGCTGAGATTGTACCTAACGTCGATGATGGCGATATTTGGGCGGCGTCTGAAGGAGAGAAGCTGAGTGCCAGTCATGTATGAAATGTTCCGAGACATATCGGATTACAGTTCCTTCTTCTTCTTCTTCTCTCTCTCGCGACGAACGAAGATTGGATGAATTTTCTGCCAATTGGATTGTAATTTGGTTTGATTGATGCAATGGCAAGCTGAAAATTGACTTTTTAATACTTTCATTGGAAAATTTACGTTTTTCCCCAAATAATATACATTACCATTTTTACCCTAATTTGATAAAGTTTATAAGTTTCTAAACTGAATTTTTAATTTCTTCCGAGTTTTTTTTTTTAACTGAAACTGTTTACGCTTGGTCTTTTTAAGAAATATATGGCAATTATCGCTAGTTATGTTCGTTGGGATAAAACTATGGTATTTTTATTCTATATTGCCATTTTTATCTTAGGATAAGCTTTTAGTTGCATTTTATTTTAAAAAATCGAATTTGAGAAAAAAAAACATTAGAACTTAAATTTTTTATTTTCCCTAAAATTCTGTGAATTTTGATATAGTTATATTCAATAGTCAATTTCATGGACCAATCAAATTTATTGCAAAGTTTGATTTTCATGGAAATCAATGAATTTTGTCTTAATGTTTTATAATTTTTTGTTGCTAATATTAGTTGGTGAATTGGCAATTGAATAAAGTAAAATTTGCAACTTATTTAAGTGTAAGGTGAAATTAGATAAAATTGAAAACTTATGACGAACTTAATTGGACGAAATCAAAAGTCTGACAAACATTTTAATAGACGTCGCTAATTTTTATCCGTTTTAAATAGTAGATTTTTCCTCTTGAGTTCTTTTAAGTCAAATGGATAGGAGCTCTCCAATAAGGGAGTTTGCCTCCGGGCTTTCACTCCATGTTGTGATAGACTTGATGCTACAAAATGACTCAAATATTTGTTGCATGGAGTGCATGAACGTTTTTTTTTTAAATAGATTAAAATCGAAAAAACTTTGTTACTTAAAGTTGAAGAGGAATTTCAACATCATTAAATATTTGACAACTAAAGAAGAGAAATACAAAAATTAAAAAATAATGAATTGTCAAATATTTAATGGGATTAAGAGAAAGTTATTAATTCACTTTTCAAGGACAAGTTTTTTTGGATTAAGAATGGGTGTCGTGAAACCAACTCAAATCCGGTTAGATTGTATTTCTCATGTCCCCTCGCACAATCAAGTTCCCTTGACTAACACCTCATTTAGGTTCGTTGGCCTCGATCCTCAAGTTTATTACTTTGGCCTTTGTATCGATAATTTATTATTTTTAAAAATGATTCATTTTATTTTATTTTATTTTTTTACTTTTTGGCATTATGAGCAAATACTCTGCTATATATATACGGAGCGCCTCAGGCCTCAGGGCACAGAGCAAGAGAGACACAGAGCATCCATGGCAGACGTTCACCCTCTCCACAGTGCCTTGCATCAAGAGGAGCCCTACGTCACCGTACAGCCGGCCGGTCTCGACGTCGGCGAGCAATTTCACGACGGCGCCATCAGAACAAGAAATTATTCCAGACCGCCAATGTGTTTGCGGTACGGATACCTCATGGCTGAAGATCCATCTCCAGACGACGCTGCTTCCGAGGAGCAAGTTCTTGATGGAGAAGAGCGGGTTCTTGAGAGGAACGAAGTCGAAGTCGAAATCGTCGATGAGGACGAGAGCGGCGGTCTGGTTTTTGAAATAAAATTTTCTCAAGATAATCAATATTATCTGGTTCAGCTAGCTTTCGGTCCACAAGAGAGATCTGACGATGAAGATTCGCCGCAAGAAGACGGAGACGAAGGAAGCGATCGCTACAGCGACGATGAAGAAGATCGGGCTTTGGAAGAGGACGAGAGCGATGATGAAGAAGAAACTTACGAAGGTGAGGAGAGCGACGAAGGAGATTTGACCGGTAAACGTGATTTTGAGTTATATTTTCCGCATGGAGATCGCTACTATGTGGTGCGGCTAGTATTTGAGAATGAAGTATTTAGTTTTGTCGAGGAAGGAGATGAGTCTCTTTTCGGCGGACTGCAGCGATTAGTCGAAATTTCGTACTACGACCGTTTGGCAAGTCAAGGGACCCTAAAATCCGAAAGAGAAGACGAAGATGAAGTTCCGGCGATTGACGATTCCGATTACGCAGAGTCGAAGCCTGCAGTACCGGAGATTTCACGGAACTGTACAGAAGAAGATGGAGAAAAGCGAAATGGAATCGAGTGTCTTGAAACGGAAAAGGAAGCGAAAATGAAATCGATGCAGATCGTCTGATGAAATTAGAACGACAGAATGATCATCATCTGGAGCTTCACTCTCCGCTAGCACAGCCGGCGCCATTGCCAACCTCGATTACCGCTTCGGTATGTCCAGAATTAATTTGATGATTTTTCTTTTTCTTGTTCTTTAGATGGCTTGACATATATTAGTCGAATCGGTTCGATAAAACAAAATGTGAAAAATTAGTTGAAATTGATTCGATTTTAACAATTCTGAATCATTTTTATTTTGAACTTGTTATTTGGTTTTGTTGGATTTTCAAAACAAAAAAGTTCGTTTCATTGTCCGTCAGTTTTCAAAATAGCCTTCTACTATCACTATTATTTGCGAATGAGATTCTTTAAGAATTGGAATGCTGTAGGATATGATAATTGGGGATGTTTTTTTCTTATATTTTTATTTTAAATCCACCGAAATCCTTCTGAAATTTTTTCAAATAACCAAATATTTTGAAACACGGAATGATTAACTTTGCTTCAAGTAAAAAATTATTTAAATTCACTTTTATTCACAGAACCATTCAATTATAAATTAAAATTTTAGTTCAGATCTTATGTTCATTCTCGAATTCTGTTTCAAAATATTTGGTATTCCAAAATCTTACTTGCCTCTAAATCCTTCGTGCCAAACTCGCCAAGGAATCTAAATTCTAAGTTATGAATCATAATTAATCTCATAAATTAATTTTACTACAAAATATATGATATGATTTAGGGTAAGAAGTGGGAAAATTAGAAATGAAGCATCTCTCCGACCAAAAAAAATGTGAGCTCGAATCACCACCTTCACATGTTGTACAATACTCACGTTGATGAGGTGCTGAGATTTAAATTTGTATGAAAATGGATCTAAAACATGCAACTTTTATTTTAAATTATTTCAATATTATAATTTTAATTGGGGCAAAATGTCACCAGCAAATAGAAGCAATTAAAATTTGAAGCTGATTAACTAATTAATTAATTAAATCAAAAGCCAACAAAGTAATCCAAATCCAAGAAAAGTAAGAAATTGAATAAGACAGGGCTCTCCAAATCCAACGAAAGTGTGATATCAAATGAAGCAGAGAATTAAAATCTCTTTTCTAGACGCATCCTCACTTTGCTTGAATTAAAACTACAATATTTTAAGAATGTTGAAATAAATATATTTAAATAATTATTTTTTTCACAATATTAAAATTAAAGTCCTAAAACATGGGAGTTGTAACCCTTTTTTTTTCTCTTCGTACCACAAATGTAGAGGCTGTGAGATCTGAGGGAGAGTTATTGTCTTCTATATAAATGAATTATAATCATTTAGAAATTATGACAATAATAATCCATCGTTGTAAATACAAACCAATACTATATTGAGTACAATTCATTTGGAAGTATGAATATTATACTACAATAATTAATAAATTCAAAGCTTTTCAAGTTCAGGATAACTTTACTTATAATTTATAATATTAGAACCGCAGATTACATATTAAATTAAGAAGTAGGATAAATTTTTATAGAATGATTTGAAGCAGCAATTAAATATTTCTAAAAAATATTGCTACAAAAATTTGAAACAAAGGATTCATCATGTGCCTACACCGAAGATTAATTAAGGATTACTATTGAATGAAATACTGAAACTAAACAAATATAAACATAAAAAATAAATTAATTTGTAGTACTGATTTTAGGTTTAAAATAAATATCACATGTTTTTTTTAGTAAAAACTCACAACCTTTTAATTGAAAAAATATGCTAATTACCGCTCAACTATGCTCGTTTTTTAAATATAACATATTTTGGAAATCAAGAAACCTTCAATTGGATAAATATTTACTATATAAGTACTCTCGCATATCATGTATGTGGTCAAAGAATGGATTGCATTCCAGACGTAACAAATCATAAATAAACAGGAAAAAAAAAGCAATCAAATGTAAAAAAATTCACAGATTAAATATAAAAAACAATAGATAATTCAGCACCTCAAATTATTAAGAAAATAGAAAACAAAAAATTCAAACCATTTGTTTTGGAAAAAAAATGGTAAACAAACAAAGCACGAACCTCATGAAATCTAATCATCTAATTTTTTAAAGGAAAAAAAAACACACATTTCTGGAAAAAAAGAAAAAAAAAACAAGTAATGAATTAACTCATCCAAAATAGTGCATTAAAATATACAAACTCTGTCGGGAGGTTTCTTCAAATGAAGACATAAACAAAAATTATAATGACATTCCTTTGAGGACCCGAGGTTCGAACCCCTATGCTCCAAATGTGTTGAACTACAAAACAACAAAAACTTCATACAAAACCAAAATAAACCAAAGTCGAAAACTGAAAGTACAGTGATAAGAATAATATTTAAACCTAAAATTACTTTAGGTGGCTTAACGATATAAATTTAATTGATGTTATGCATTACATAACTAAAATAATTACATCAATAATAAATGTTTAATTAGACCTAACTAGTCACTTCAATGCATAAGATGATACTGAGAGTTTAGTTTCAATAACTAGAAAGATTATCACACACCTTTTGCTGCATCCCTAATCGTTTGTCCCAAAAATCTTTTCGTGCTGACAAAAATATGACACATAAACCATGCACGAGTCCTACCACAACCACTTCACTTCTCCCTACACCTTTTCACGTCAAAATCACCACACCAAACTTCCCCACAATATCCAGGCAAATTTAACCATTATTCAACAAAAACACTCTCAAAAAATGTTGTTTTGGCCATATGCATTTGATAACCACGATTTCTTTCCATCTGCTAGCTGAAATTTCACAAACAAGGAATACCATCCTTCCAAATTTTCTACTGCATTGGTCTTCTCTTCATCCCATAGAATCATCAACCCATTAGATATTCCCCATGCTTCAACCTCAGCCCTACCAATATGCAGATTATATATGGGAGAGATTATATATTATTAGTTGAGTTAGGAAATTATATATCGTGCAAGGGACAAAAGATGAAAATGGTGGAATTGTAGAAGGAGACAATTGAAGCATATTAATGAGACCACCTGAATGGCATTATTTGGGATGCAGGGGTGTACAAAGTTGAATCATTATGTGAGTTCAGAAAAGACAGAGTTGATGATATATTGGTCTAAATAAAACGTGCGATTTGTGTAATGATGTATATGGTTTAAGATCGGACCACAAATATTGTTATGATGTGATCGATGATTTAAGAGTTGGATTTTTGGACAGAGGAGGGTGTGATAAGGATGAAAGAAAGATTGAAGGTGGGAAAGAGAGCTCTAGTTAGCAAAGGCTCTTTGATGGTTGAGTTAGCGTATGTGATGGGGGGAAGACATGAGATCTAATTGCAAGAGAATAACGAAAGTTTCTTTTTAAAAGAAGTTGTGTAGGAATTTTCTTAAAGGCTAAGGAAGAAGAGTTTTTGAATTTATAGGCTATTATACTAAATCTCTATTGGCAAAGGATTCTTAGTGGGGTAAATTTGGATTAGCGATTAGGAATGGGACATGTACTTGATGGAAAATCGCTATTGTTATGTCGTTAAAAAGAACATCATTTAATTGTATGGAGGGACATGATGAATTATAGTAATTTGAAGGAGGAGATTGGGAGAATATAGAGATTGAACCAATTTTCATATAGTTGCTAAAAATTGATGAGGTCTCATGTTATAGAAGTTTTTTTTGGAGTTGGTATCAAATAATAATAGTTACAGTTGAGGAAAAAAGTGGGAAAAGTAGGAATTGTTGAAAGGTGTGGAAAATAAAAATGAGAAATGAGATGGTCTAAAAAACTTTATTTGGTATTTTGATGCATGAAAGGACATAAAGGTAACTCATTTGGCAAGAGTTTAGATGATGATGTATTGGTCGAGAAAGAAAGAGGATATGATTTGGGGAATAGTATTTACGGTTTAGGTTTGGCTCATAAAATAGTTGGGAGCAATATGGAGGAGATGAGTTAGGAAATTCACGTGAGTTTATTGGTTTTATAAGAACTGCTTGTTTGGAGTTTGTTTCAAATAGAAAAGAAATTATCATAGTGATCTAATTGCACTATAATAGTGTTGCAAGTAGAAAAACCTTTTATTCTAAAGTGAGATCTATGCATACCCTGTGGGCTGTTGTGACCATATGAAGGCAGCTCAAGAAGCTTCCACATCACAGATTGCAGCCATGTCTCAAGTGCTTCTGTGATTGGGATAAAATTAATGAAATATGATATCTTAAAAACTATATAGTGCCTTATATCAAACATTCAAACCAATTCAACCTATTTTCAAATCAAAACATTCAAACAAATTCAACATTCTTTAAAATGATTTAACACATTATGTGGAGGTGTAACATGTGATTGATCAACGCACTGTATTGATACGGTAAATAAAGTCATGTAACGTCCTAACCTGGCATACAGAAAATATTCCTTGGGCAAAATGGAGCTTTTTTGAATATGATGCTTCCATGGCCGCACTTGCTCAAATTTTTTGGTAACTGCAACAGCATCTAGTGAGGAGTTAGTAGATAGCATCCTGCTCCCTTCGTCAATTTGGCACTTTGCAACTCATTTTGTAGCCTACAAAGGCAAATAATGAAAAAAAACATAAAGTATTATAATTAAATCTTACCATGAAGACATGCTAGTCATAATAACTCTGTTTTTGCAGCAAAACATATCTGGGATCCTTTTCCGCACTAGAGAGATGAGCTGGGAATAAATCTTCCACAAGAACAAGTTCCGTGCCCAGAGACCTAAAATGGGTAATAATTATCATGGGTAGATCTATCGTGACACTTTCAATCCAAGAAGTAATGATGAGCCAACCTGAACTCCTTACAAGGTTTTTCTTCTACTTTTCTTTGATTTGGAATAATTGTAAAAATGGTCAAAAGAATACTTCTTTTGGGGATTTTATTTATTTATTTTTAAAAAGAAAATTAAAGTAACGTTTGTCATTTGATAAACGATAAATTGCAAAAGAAATAAAATATATATATAAATTCAGATATGATAACAAATTTAAATATTCAAAATATTTACCTTCACAAGTCTACTGGCCTCAGCTTGAAAATTCACGTGGGTATGTAGCAGCAAATGCTTTTTATCCAATCATACTAGTTCGTGGAGATGGAGTAGATCTTCAGAAGACATACCAGCAAAAAACTCCAATTAAATGACCCTAAGATAATTATTGAGGCATTAAACATGAAAATCTGGATGAGAAAAAGAAGACAGACAAAAGACTTATGATTCATACTAATTCTATACATTGAACGAGTAGAAATCAACGAACATTTAATGTGAAACATTTCAATTTTACTGTTCGTGAAATGGTACAAGTACAAGTACAATCAGCAAGCAGAAAACAACTTCAAAAGTCTGAGCAATTTCAAAGGAACAGAACGGAACTGGTTTCTTGGTATATCAATACTCATATTTAAGTCGGGAATGATAAAAACAATACATCTAACCCAGAATGTTTCTGCATTGGCAAAATGTTGAGTCCCTCCTCTGTCTCGTATGTATATGAACCAGAAAACTTCATATCCCCAGGATCCACTGAAGTTGGAAATCCTCGTTACCCCTTTGCACGACTGGCAATTGAAGCAAGTTTCGTGGTTGTTATCATGAATTGGCCCTCATCTGCCGGCTTGCAGCAACCATACTGCAGATCATTAGATAACAGAAAGGCTATCAGTTGGAACAAAATTTTCGAAATTGGTTTTGCTCTGTTTCTTTTAACAAAATTCATAAAGTAAAAACTGATTGTACAGCACCTGAGTGGAAGACGAGTGTTCGTTGCAGAATTGCTGGACGGAATCACGGCCGAATTTAGTGTTGAAGCCGGTGCAGACCTTGCCGTCCATTAAGCCAGCTCTTGATTCCGTTCCAGTTTTTTGTTCTTATTGACCCGATTCTGGAGCCAGTTGGAGAACCGTCGCCTTAAATATCTCGCAACACAATTTTTTAATTTTCTCTCCAGTTCCTCGCACTAAGCGAAAGCACTCCAGACCAAATACGAACGAATTTTGCAGCGGTTTCAAATGGCATGCAACGCTAGAGATCTCATGTTAACAATAATCCAAATGTTAGCAAAGATCACTGTCGCGCCATGATGAAGAACTCGTAAAACCTAACCCTAACCCTAACCCTAGGGCTGTTGTGATTTCCCAAATGGACTGATGGCTTCGTCGGAATCGCGCCATGGAATAGACGAAAGGAGAAGCGGAGAAGAAAAGCAATCGTCCGATTTCTTCCTCGCGGAGCCTCGAGTATGGAGTGAGAGGGAGAAAACGCAGTCGCACACCGTATTTATAGGATGAATCAAACGTGTAAATTTCGCGCCGGCTGCGTGTATTTTACGCGTTTGGCTTTTTTTATCGTTTTGAGCCGTTGACTCGGTGAAACGCGTGTATAGTACGCGTTTCATTTTTACCCCCTAGAAATTTAACATCCGTGTTTCAATTTGCAATCTTTTTTTTTTCAAGGTAAATCAGTAAATGTAACCCTTTTCTTTCTTTTTAGAATAGTCAATGTAACAACAATTGCAAACTTTTCTTTTTTCTTTTTTTTTTTGGTTTTAATAACTCTGATCCCCAACCTTGTCATCGAACGAAAATTAGTATAGTATTATTATAAAAATCATGATTATATATCTTATTTTCATTTTAAATTTGATGATTACGATGTTTTGTTTTGATGTTGGAATTATGCTTAATTATTCTCTAGAATTTTGTCATGCTCCATCTTCTTCTTGGATTTTAAGTTCTTTTTTAATGATCAAAATTTAATTTTTACTTCGTTGTCTTCTTAACTCATTATATATATATATATATATATATATATATATATATATATATAATATATTTTTGTTATAAAATAAGGTGGAAAATAAAACTCTAACAATTTATCATTCCACAGTTATATCTACCAAACTAAAAGTCGATCACACAATAAGAGATTAAAGGAAAAAACAATAACGACACAAATAATTTTATACTATGTCACCCAACAATGGCTACGTTCAGTATTCCGCTCGAATGCAGGTTCCACTAATATAAGATTGATATAATCGCTCACAACTATCTCCCGTAGATATTCACCCTCTAGAGATCCCAACAAAAGCCCTATTGCTTTCAAGTATCTTAACATTTTGTACACAATAAAAAAAAAACTCACAATAGAACAAGATTTAATTACCCCATGTCAATCTTGTTATGCTCTTCTGCTGTCAATATCCTCAAAGTGTTACCTCTGAAACGCTACAAAAAGCCTTCTAATTTTGACGGCTGAAAAAGTCTAGGCGAAAAAAATCAAATTTATAACATCACTACAGTGTCATGGTGCTGTCCATAGCGCTATGACGCTACGGACGAAAACATCCCGCACATCACTGTGACAGGGTTGTGTTGCTACCTCCTCAACTACCTTGAATTGCAGCTACACTTCTTCGACTATTTTTCATCCTGCTTCGTCCCGGTTCGATCATGACTCGTTCCGATGTCAATTTGACTGCACCAATCTCAACACTCTCTATAAGCCGTTTTCTATTTTCATTAGTCCACCTACTATGATTTAGTTGAATGTAACGTTTTATATATTCTTTTAGTACAACGACATATGAGACTCATAAGAGTTCGGATATACGAATTGTACATAATAGAGCTAGCATTTTTAAAAAATTGAAATTGAAATAACAAGAAATAAATAAACTGCTAAAAAACAATAAATAAATAAACAAACCAAAAAGAGAAGGAGAGGAGAGAAGAAAAATGAAAAGGAATGGATAAACCTTACACGCTCTCTGTCGCATTCGCCCTCTTCCTTTTCTTTTCTGAAAAGGGTCGCATTCGCTCTCTCTTTTCCGTTTCCAGTTCCACAATGTGAAACAAGAGTAGCCGTCCAAGTCAAAATATCTTCCCAAATGGCGATTCGTCACCACTAATCGAATTCTTCCTCGTTCCTTTAAAGCTGTGATGAGCTGCGATTATGGGAGGCGCGAGGTTGAGGATCTGGAGTGGGAGTGGGCGGCGACAGATGAGGAATTTCGCCTTACAAGTTCTGCTGGGCCGATGGTTCACCGTCTTCGCTTCTTTACTGATCATGGCCGTTTCCGGCGCCACCTACATGTTCGGACTCTACTCCGCCGACATCAAATCTTCACTGGGTTACGATCAGACCACCCTCAATCTCCTCGGCTTCTTCAAGGATCTGGGTGCAAACGTTGGAGTCTTGTCCGGCCTCATCAATGAAATTACGCCGCCCTGGGTCGTTCTCTTCATCGGCGGAGTCATGAATTTCTTTGGCTATTTCATGATTTGGCTCTCTGTCACTCAACGAATCGCCAAACCCAAGGTGCCCGCCATGTGTTTGTATATATGCCTAGGTGCTAATTCTCAGACCTATGCTAATACGGGAGCTTTAATCCCTTCCGTGAAGAATTTCCCGGAGTATCGAGGTAATGTATTGGGTTTATTGAAAGGGTTTGTTGGTTTAAGTGGGGCTATTTTGACTCAGCTTTACCATGCTTTTTATGGGGATGACTCTAAGGATTTTATATTGCTCATTGCTTGGCTGCCCACTGCTGTTTCTTTCCTGCTTCTTCGGATTGTTAGAGTAGTGGAAGTAGATCAAAGATCCAAATCCAACGATCTCAAGATTTTCTATCATTTGCTATACATTTCCCTTGGTCTTGCCTGCTTCCTCATGATTTTGATTATTATTCAAAATGAGCTCGTGTTTACTAGAATTCAGTATTTGGGTTGTGCGCTTATTCTCCTAGTGCTTCTGTTTCTCCCCCTTGCTGTTGTCATAACAGAAGAATTCAGCATTAAGAAGAGAAAATTGCAAGCTTTGAATGTAACTTCTTGGCTTTCGGACCCATCTCCAGCTGAATTACCATCGTCTAGACCACCACATCTGCCGACGGCTGTCGTAGCTGTAGCTAACCCAAGTTCTTGCTTTGAAAATGTGTTCAGACCCCCCGAAAGAGGAGAGGATTACACCATTTTACAAGCAATCTTCAGCATAGATATGTTGATTCTGTTTGTTGCCACAATTTGTGGGACTGGTGGGACTTTGACTGCAATAGACAACTTGGGTCAGATAGGCAGCTCCCTTGGCTACTCAACTCATAGCATTTCTACTTTCACTTCCCTCGTGAGCATATGGGGCTTTCTGGGTCGAGCATTTTCGGGTTATGCTTCTGAATTCTTATGGACAAAGTATAACTTCTCACGCCCTCTGTTCCTCACTCTTGTGCTTCTTCTCTCTTGTATTGGTCATCTTCTAATTGCCTTTGGAGTCCCAACCTCCCTTTACTTTGCTTCAGTGATCATTGGATTTTGCTTTGGAGCACAATGGCCATTGATTTTCGCTATTGTATCTGAATTATTTGGCCTAAAATACTATGCAACTTTGTACAGCATAAGCGGAATTGCTAGCCCAGTTGGCACATACATTTTCAGTGTCAAAGTGGCTGGCTATTTGTATGACGAAGAGGCTAGAAGGCAAATGGCAGCCATTGGGCTTAGAAGAGTAGCTGGAGACTTAGCCTGCAAGGGCGTCCAATGTTACAGATTAGCTTTTCTTATAATCAGTGCTGCAACCGTGTTCGGTTGTATTGTTTCATTCATTTTGGTGCTTCGGACTTGGGAATTCTACAAGGGTGATATCTATAAGAAGTTTAGAGAGGAAACAAAGGAAGCAGAATGATACAGTTTGTAGTCCAGTCTGTGTAACACCGCTTGTTTCAACACGCTCTGCATTCTTTTTATTTTCTTCTGTCATGAGTAGCTTGCTATTTTTCTTCTGTTCTGAAGTGACATTAGAGAAGGGAGAAGACAGAAAAGTTGTTCTAGAATTTTAAGTGTTATAATGGGGTAGAGATTTTACTGCAGTGGCTTTTCCTGGGTGGTATTGACCATGTTGATCCGATCCAAATCCAATATCAAACTCTTGGCTCTGCTTGTGCAAAGGATCATGAGTGGTGACTTGCCCTTTGGCTCAGAAGTCATAACCTATGGAATAAGCTCTTTCTTTTGTAGAATCTTGAGGTTGTTCGTCCTATTTTTATCAGAAGCTTTCCGTTTTTGCTTCGTCATGGGGATCAGTTAAAGAAGAAAGCTACAAGAATCTTCATGGAAGAGGAAAACGACATCGAGATTGTTTGGGACGTGACCTTTTTTTTCTGATTCTTGGTTCCAACCATGAAACTCCATGTGCTTTTGCTTTTGTGTTAGGGAAAATATCTGTAAAAAATCACAATGACTTGACTACTTGAGTTAGTTAATTGCAAAGTTTCATTGCAACATCTCCTCAATATTCACAGTTTTTTCTTTATCTTCTTTTGGAAATGTATCTGTGTGAATGAGCTGTTCTTGTCTTCCATATTTTTTTTATTTGAGTGAGCAATCTACTTTCTAATTGTTTCTTTACAGAATTTGCAGGAATTAATAAGCAGAGAAATGGGGAGAGCATGCCTATAATCCTGAGCAAAAACTAGTGGAAGTGTTATCTCGAATATCTGACGATTAATCTTTTCAAAATCATGGAAAATCTCCACTTTTCTCTGCAACCAAACAGAAAATAGTCAAATTTTTACCACTTAATTGTAGCTTCGTTAATTAGACCAGCTGAAAATTGAGATTTTTTTTTACTATTTTATAGAATTTAGATTTAAATAGTTTTTGCTTTAGTTTATTTTAGTCTGTATATATTTTTGACTTTTATTCATTTAGCCATTTTATTGTTAGTTTTGGTATTTGTGTTAAAATTATGATCGAAATAAATGAGATGAAAATGAAAATGAATGAATTAAATTGATCATTTTTAAGCATAGAATAGGCAAAATGAATGTTTGAACTAAAATTAACAAAAATGAAAAGTCGAATGACAAAAATAATATTAAAACCTATAATTTAATATACAAATTTAACATTTGGTTCCAAGACTTGGGGGAAAGTCACGTAACAAAAGCTTTTCCTCTTGGGCTAACTCTCTCCCTCCCAACTGCAAACAATAAATAAATAAAAGTGGGAATTTTTCTATTTTTTTAATTATTTTTTCCTTTTTTAATGGGTTTGGGTTTAGGTTGATCTGTACTAAGTTGAAAGAAGCATATTTGGTTGACTCAATCTAACCTTGTCTTCCCATTACTCTTTAAAATTTCCCATATGTTTATGACATGTAATAAAAAACCACTACTTTTAATCTTCTATTTTATTAAACATATCTTATATAAATTCATAATTTTTACTCATTAACATATTTGACTCACAGTATTAAAATTTTCACTTGACCTCTCAATTAACATTTCTATATGTTCATGAATTTGACATCATAATTCTATAGTATTGCATAAGTTATTGACAAAATATAAAATATCACTGATATGGACATAATATTAGTATTAATAATTTTAAATCTCTTTAAAAATAGTAAAAATGATTATTTATTAATTTAAATATTTGTCATTGACTTTTTATTTTTAATTTGTTAAGAGATATTTGAAATTTTATGGATATTTTCATTAACATTACTATAAAATTGAGGCTTCAACATTTTAGTTGACATCGACGTTTAAAGCTTTGGTTTATATAATACAAAATTTAAAATTCAAGTTTGATGTTTGGCATATGGAATTGCTTATTTCAATAAGTTGGCTTATCTCGCAAGCTATACAAATACAAATTTATCAAACTCATACTTTACCTATAAAAATTTTGACTTAGGGGACGTAACATGATATGGATAGAGTAGTCGACAAATTCTGGTTGTCCCTCGTCTCATCATTTATTTGACGGACAAATGAACATGTCTTATTAACTTTTGTCACTTATGTAACCATCAGAACTAAACCATACTCCAAATTTAAATATGTAATTGGAATTTTATAAATTTCAGAGGCTAAATAGTGAATAGATAGCATTTTCAAAATACATTAATTAAGTTTATGATGTTGCCTTAACAAAATCTATATTCCTGAAAAAATTGGTGGGCCGAAAAGTAAAATTCAACGTGATAGGTACAAAATCAATTAATGCAATTTGGATAAATATCCTTATCAATTATTAAAAATAGGAATTGGTCCAATTTCTTCCAATCCGACGGTTTCAAAATT